TGGCGGAACCGGGTTTACGTGACTCACGGTTCGGCAGCTGTACGAGAAGCACAGCGCCAGCTCCTGCACCTGGTGGGGACCTCGGTCTTCCTCTATCCAGGGCGAAGTGAGGGGAGCTGGCCATGCAGAGACTGCAGAGTGGGGAAATGGGGGACCGCAGGGGGGAGGTGCCAGGCTCTTTCCAACAACCAGCCCTGGCAGGAATGGACAGAGCTAGAACTCACTCCTTACCGCAAGCCGATCATCAGGGATCTGGCCCCACCTCCAACGCCGGGGATCAAATTCCCACACAAGGGTTGGGGGGTCAAACAGCCAAACAATAGCACTTAGGCCGGATGCAGTCTGTGGTTTTTCTGGTGCACTAGTGACTTTTAGTTTTCAAAAAAGTCCCACTGCAGATGGAAAGAAGTGTAGTGACAGAAAGACACCAGGCTCATGCAGCAGGTTCTTGCACGTGCGTCGGAAGGAAGGGCGGACAGCGAGAGCCGTGCCCTGCCCAGCCGGCCACTGCAGGGTAACCGGACGGGGCTGCCCAGCACCCAGGCCCTCGCAGTAGTACTTAGTGGAAATTTGGCCAGCAGTGACCATCTCTCTACCCTGGTGGTTCCAGCCCATCCAGGAGACACCACCCGATGCTGAACTGGGACTGTCTGGCTTGAGGGGAAGCGCCCCGAGCTGACCCCACGGCAGGGCAGGCGGGGTCAAAGGTCCAAGCAGGCGACGCCCGACCCCCAGCTGAGCCCCAGGCCCAGGGAGGTGCCCACTGCGGGGCAGGGGAGGGTCTGTGCCAGGCTCCCTCCCTGCCTGCTTCCTGCCGGGGCAGCCCCCCTGCTGAGGGCCGCGTACAAACCCAGGAGCACAGTGGCGTTCAGGACGCGGTTCGCGGCTCGTGTAGGTGATGTGCTGGCACGTGGTGCCATGCCAGATCCCTTCTCCCGGGAGCCAGGGCACACCCGCCCAGGGAGTCCGCGCCGCAGTCTCGTGTGAGTCACCGACGAGCAGCAGGCACTGTCTCTGACGGCTGCGTGGCCACGGGTCCCTGCGCGCTCGCTGTGCTAACGGGTGGTGAAGACTGCCCTGCTCAGCCCTGCCAGAGGGCCTGGGTGGCAGCGCCACTCCCAGCCACTGCACAGGTGAGATACGGGCAACCTGCCCGAGGTCACGTGGGTGACTTGGTGGCAGGTGAGGCTGGAAGGCAGGCTGCGTGCCTTCTGGCGCCTAGTTTTTAAGCATCACACCACTTCGCTGGTTTTGTGTGCTGTGACGCCACAGCGTTGAGAGTTCCCGCAGATTGTCCTCCTGCTTCTCTGCAACCTCTGTCTGCCACCCGGGCCGACCCCGCGGGAAGCAGGGCCAGGGCGGCAGGCGCGAGCAGCTGCCCTCAGCACAGCCCAGGGCTCCATGCACGGGCGCCGCAGCGCCACTCCCCCATCAGGACAATGGAGCCGGTAACTCCTCCTGGCGCCGGCAGAGGACCAGGCACCGGGAAAGAGCTCAGGAGCAGCCCGCAGACAGCCCTGAGTCATAGCTGTAGTACCTTTAAAACAAAACCCACCAAGCCTTAAGCCAAAGGACAAACAGTGTCCTGCACAGGGGTGAGGGTGCAGGGAGGTGCTGGGGGGGCAGCATGCAGGAACACCCTAAGAGTGGCCACAGTGGTGCTACTAGAAGTCTCGGCAACCCGTGGCCAGCATCCCAGTGGCCGTGGACACGCCTCGGGTCCCAGTCCCTGCAGGCAGCAGCAGGCAGGGCTGCGTCCTCGTCTTGGTCTCGGCAGAGGCCCCACTGGAGTCCGCACTTCCCGCACTGTGAGGCGTGGCCCCAGCGCGGCAGGGGCAGCTGACGCCACAGGAAACAAGGGCATCTTCCTAGGTTAGTTGTACTCGTTGCAGAGCTAATACACACCTTTTCCAGTCACTGCATGAGACCGAGGCGGCCCTGCTCACCTGCCCGGACGCTGAGCTGGCGGGCTTTCTCTGCAGAGCACAGGCGTAGCACTCGCCAACTGCACGCGACAACACAACGCTAGACCATCAAGGTGCATGCCAGCCCCACGGGTATTTGCTGCTGTTGTCAGCAGCAAAAACAAATGGTTACCTGTGCAGAGAGAGACAGATCGACGGTGCTGAGTCCAGGGCCGGTCTCCGCTGATGAAAACAGCATGGATGAGGGCTCAGAGCACATTCTCAGATCTGAAGCGAATCTGTGTCTTACGCAGGGGGCTTTCCATCCTTTTTTTATTAAGCAAAGGAAGAACTTTTTCTTAAGTCAAATAGAGAATACCAGAATACCAAAATAAATAAGAAAATAAACCAGAAAATAACTTTTCACATGTTATCCAGAAAACATGTGAAAAGAGAGTTGCTTTCTTTGAAGGACAAGTGGGAGGTCCAAGGTCAAGTTTACCAGACCCAACCCCAGAACCCCAAGGCTGCAGTGGACACCTTAAACCATGCACATGGCCGATACCATATGCCAAGCAGAACATGCTCCACGTGGGTTAAGATGTCTTAAAAAAAAAAAAATTAAACCTCTAAAACAAACAAACAAAAGACACAGGGTTAGATTTTGTCCAGTGGCGATGTGTCAACAGTAACGCAGGCATTCCTTGGAAAGTCTGTATCAGGGAACTTTCCAAATGCACAAACACAACGCTGTATTGGTTTGCAGCACAGTGAAGCTATCCTAGTGTTTTTCTTGTTAGACAACCAAACGATAAATACTCTCCCCCCAAAATAATGAATACCACGGAGCAAGCATCTAAATGGGAATTTCTGAGAAAATGAAACTGATAAAAGTCTTTAAATGAAAATATCTTATACAATGTCAATCGGCGTGACATTCTAGAGTCAAATCAAAATACTTTACGTAAATACCGCGGCAGCTAGGACTGGGTAAGTTTCCTTTAGGGTAAATACCGTACAGTGACTTAAAAGCTTACTTGCTGGCTGTTTCCGAGGAAAGGCCACAGGACAAAATAGTCCTATGTTCAGCAAATCAGCGCTTAGCAAATGATCGAGAAGTATGACCACAGTGTACATGGGGCACGACTAAGTCTGTGAAACAAAACACAAGTATAGCCAAGAAGCAAACCTACCACTTAAACTCCACAAGGAAAACTCATGCTTGCTATTAATAATTAAAATGCCGTAACATTTCTTGTTGAGGTAGGGATAAGGAAAGACGGAAAGATGAGAAAAGGGAATGAAGTATGTGGTCACTTATTCATCTGTTTATTTATTTATTTTTTTTGTTTTGAGACAGAGTCTGGCTTTGTTGCCTAGGCTAGAGTGAGTGCCGTGGCGTCAGCCTAGCTCACAGCAACCTCCAACTCCTGGGCTCCAAGCGATCCTCCTGCCTCAGCCTCCCGAGTAGCTGGGACTACAGGCATGCGCCACCATGCCCGGCTAATTTTTTCTACATGTTATTAGTTGGCCAATTAATTTGTTTCCATTTATAGTAGAGACGGGGTCTCGCTCTTGTTCAGGCTGGTTTCGAACTCCTGACCTTGAGCAATCCGCCCACCTCGGCCTCCCAGAGAGCTAGGGTTACAGGCGTGAGCCGCCTCGCCCGGCCTTCATCTGTTTATTTTTTTAAGCTGTGGTCCCTAACCCTCGGGCCACAGGCCAGAAGGCGAGTGGCAGATGATCCAGGGAAGTGTCATCTGTATTCACAGTGGCTTGTAATGCCACCTGAGCTCCGCCCCGTCAGATCAGCAGCACTAGATTCTCACAGGAGCGCGACCCCTACTGTAAACTGTGCATGTGACAGATCTAGGTTGCGGCGGCTCCTTATGAGAATCTAATGCCTGGCCATCTGACGTGGAGCGGAGCGGTGATGCTGGCGCTGGGGAGCGGCTGCAAATACAGACTACCACTGGCAGACAGATTTCACTGCACAGAGACCACGATAAACCAACTGCTTACAGACTCATATCAAAACCCTAGCAGTGAGTGGCAACTGGCAATCAAGCTGCATCTGGTGGCAGGCTTTATAGTGGCAGGTGAGTTGTTGCACTTCAGTGTTGTACAGCTGCACCTGGTGGCAGCTTTAAGTCAGAATCCAAGACTGTTTTTAGTCCACACGTGGCCCGCCCGTTATTTTACCACTTCTGTCCACCCCTCTTTCCCGCACTGCACACTGGTCTCAGGCACAGTGTTGGCAAGCCCACAAGCCAACCCTAGCAAAAATGAGTAAACCATAAATGTCACTGGAGAGCTTCTTTGCAAAGAGGGAAAGACCCAATGATGAGACAGCAGAAGACTCTGAGCCTGCAGACAAAACAACAGCTGCATTTAAAAGAAAATACCAAGAGTCCTACTTAAATTATGGGTTCACTGCAACAGGTGATTCACATTCTCCACGCCTGCTTTGTACAGTACGTGGCAGTGAGCTATCCAACGAAGCCATGAAACCTTGGAGTTTTTTAAAAGACAAAAAGATGAACACGAAGAATAGAAGCAATTATTGAAGCCCACAATTTCATCAATTGCATCTGCACTGAGCGTCTTTCCTCGTGGCTAACGCACTGCTAAAGCGAAGAGGCCCTTCGCTATGGGTGAAGAGCAGATCCTGCCTGCCGCTAAGGACACTTGCCGTGAACTTTTAGGAGAGGCTGCAGTTCAAAAGGCAGCCCGTGTTCCTCTTTCCGCTGGCACCATAACTAGACGAACCCGATAAAACGGCAGGGGATACTGAGGCACAGTCGTTAGGATTAAAGAGCCGCCATTGGTGACAGTGAAAAATCATGCTGTGATATAGAAAAAAGGAGGGAGGGAAAATGGGGGGGAACCTCTGCTTTTCTGCTAACTGAAGATTCAAAAACTTCACTTACCCAAGTCACTACGGTCAATGACTTTGGAATTATTCAATAAGCGCAGCCTGAGTCTCGGTTCTGCGCCCACAGACCGAAGGGCCGATTTAATTCCCGAGGCGAAGTCCTGCCCCACGGCTTCCAGTCGCTGGAGAAGGCATCACGTTCAAAGAAAACACGCACAACCTTTAAACCAACTTGGTGATTTTATTGATGGGCGACAACTTTATACTCCTAGAGGTCACTAGACCGTGTACATTAGGGACGCAGCGCCGCAGGAGAGCGGACAGCAGGAGTGAACAGAGCAGACGTACGGAAACACCAGTCTTCACACTGTGCCCATTGCCACTGTGTGTCCACGGAAGCATGAATTCAACTGGGAATCTTTTAATGGCAATAAAGTTACAATCACCCATCTACGCGGACTAACAGCTTAACTTCAAATATTTGATCTGCAGTGTGCATGTGAGCAGTGACCCAGCGCGCAATTATCAAAATGTATTTTTCCTGTTAGGAACCAGCAACTTATTTTTTGTGTTTATTTTTTCTTTTGAAGTAAGAACTATTTCTTCTTTGATAACTGGCTCATTTTTATTGTCTATCAAAAACTAAAGGGTGGGGAGGAAAGTGTGATGGATTAAAAAATTTCTTTTTTTAAGGAAAGATAAAATTCATTTTCACAAATTTACAAGTGTTGTTGCTGGTGCAGGATTTATTCTACGAAGCAATTAGACTGGGAATCAAATGCAAGTTCCCTTTCTCATCCGAGGAATCAGCATCATTTCAGAAATGTGGGGTTTTGTGTATTTTCTAAAATCAAGCAACAGTCTGTTTCAACCAAATGATTTTGATTTGGAAGTTAGAAGTAAACATGAACTATGTTGTGCACAAAGCCCAAGGCATGTCCTTTCATTCTAGCCCATTTCTGCAACAGGGAGAAAGAGTTTCTCTCTACAGAGCCACTAAGAGAGGCAGGAAGTTAGTGAGAGCTGGTGTCTGCCACGCAGACTGGGCACACACAGAGAGGTCACAGCAGGTCCACCCGGCGGTAATACAGGAGGTAGGCCGTGCGTTCCGCGGTGGGTTTCACCACCTGGTACTGGCTGACCACCTTGACCGTCTGGTCGTCGATGCGCAGCCAGCCGTTGAGACCGATCTGGAAGACGTCTGTGGTGTAGTGGCCGCCCGTGGCACTGTTGCCGTGATGGTAGACCACTGGAAGAGAGCGCCCAGCAGGTGACCCAGTGAGAACAGCACCGCACACAAACTGGCCAACGGCTAACTCCCTCCAAAGTAGGGGAGAGATGTAATTGCACAAAACAATGCTACTTAAACTCAAAAATGCACCCAGTTTACAATAAGAACCTTTAAGTGACTTTAAAGTGAGGGTATGTACATCTGTATATATCTTTATCACATACTTAAAATGTCTAACACCTGACAGGACACTATCCCACTGAGCCTCCGGCAGTACGCACTGGTCAACTGTTGAAACACACAACCAGAGCCCTGTCTGTGCCCTGTGGTCCAGCCAACCCCACCTCCAGCCTGTCCTAAGAGGTGAGTAGAGTCCTGGACAAAGACTCTGCTATCATTTACAACAGTGAAAGAATGGGAGAACTTCAACGTCTATTAGAAGAAATAAGATTAGTAAACTATAATAACACGAGTCTTTTCATAGAAGAGATAAAGAATGTTTGGTGATACAGGAGTATGTTTATAAAATATTACATGAGAAAACAGAGACTCTAGGTTTTTCTGGGGACAATCTTATTGCCTATGATATGACACCACCTGCACCCAGGGGAAGGAGGGACAGCAGGGCTGTCAACCATGGCTGTCCCAGCAGAGAGAAAGCAAAGAAAGTGTCCATTGCCACCAGGCCGTGGTGCCAGACTCCGCAGGGTGCCAGCTGGCCCTGGCTGGTGGCACAGCCTGAGCACCAAGTGAGGTCATGGCACTGCCATCCCAAGGGGGGAGAGGACAGGGCTGGAGAGACCCGTGAAAAGCAAGCTGCCCACTGCCACCTCGCCTGGGGCCCAGCGCCTCAAGGAGGGGCTGCCATCAGCTGTCTTTGGGGAGAACATAAAGCCAAAAGGACAGTGCCTGGGAAGAAGAGAGATGCCTGGACACCTGCCGGTGTGGCCCTGGGCCCACTCCCACAGACCACTGGCCAATCAAATGTCCCCTAAACCTCAGAAGTGGACCCAGGTAGACAGGAGCTTGAAGTCCTACTCTGCTGGTCCAGGCCAGAGTGGTGACTTTTCCTGTCTGAGTTCCAGTTTATTCTTTTATGAAATGGTGATACCACCTCTTATCTCTCAGGGCAGTTTTAGGTAATAAAAGAGACAAATCTATCTAGTAGAAAGAGTCAATAATTGTATATGGGTCAATAAATGATGTGTTATTTTAAAACACAAACAGGCTCACCAAAGGTAATACAAAGGGAGACAATAGAGAAGCTAGCAAATTCTAATAAAAATAGCAGAAAAGTAAATAAAATCGCTGCAAACAACAACAATCAAGAGACAAAGCCCAGGTGTGGTGGCTCACACCTGTGATCCCAACACTCTGGGGAGTCGGGGCGGGAGGATCACTTGAGCCCAGGAGTTTGAGACCAGCCTGAGCAAGGACAATAACCCGTCTCTACCAAAAAAAAGAAAACATAAGTCCCGGAGTCTGAGATTGCTGTGAGCTATGATCACGACTACCCTCTGCCCAGGGCAACAGACTCTATCTCAAAAAGAAAAGAATAAAAAAAAGACACAAACACTAAAGGCTAAGGCTAGAAAGGAAAAAGGAGGATGAACAGATGGACAGGAAGACAGAAGGAAGAGGGATGAAAGTGTGCACAAAAAACTGGCAGTGTAGGAAGGCCTAGGCCGGAGACAAAGGAGGTCTCAGGGCCACCTGTCCAGGCATGGGTGTCATTCACTGTCATGGGAGATGTCCCCTGACTGACTGTGGGGGAGAGTCCAGCAGCCAAGGAGCTGGTGTGACAAGGCCACTTCCTCAAGAAATCCCGACAGCACTATGTGAGAAGGACGCAGGGGACTCCAGCGTGGCACGCACTCTCCCAACCTAGCTGGGTGACTGGATGTCACGGCAACTCCATGTACTGTCACCCCATGGGTCCTGGACCTGCAGAAGGGGACGTCCCATTCTCAAATGGCCAGCCTGACATCCTAAAACTCATTCCTCTGACTCAAAGAAAGAAACGTCTGCTTTTGGGGAGGTCATGTGTTAGGCTTAGCTCATGGCCTCGATGGTATTCGATTAAACCCTCTACACCAAATTTCAGGTAAAACATTCTCAAAATGACTAAATAGAATAGAATACTACATCCTCTATGTTAAGTGGTATTACAGCAAAGTTGTACCTAGGTATAAACCCTTTTATCATTGCTTTAATAAGGAAGTAATGTACACATTTACTTACCTGCAAATAGCCGATAGGTTCTGTGGCATTTAAAATTCTTATTTTTAACCCCCGGAGAAAGAAGTTCTGAAAAACAAAATATCGATAGCTCCTGTCTATAAAAGCACTTACAGAAGGCTCAGAGTCACAAATCAAATGGCAGTTTACAGTCCCCTCAAGTAAACTGCCTGGCAGGGCGGCAACAGAACAAATCTCCATCCCTTTAGTTGCATGAAAATTGATTAAGGAGGGACACCAGCCATGCAATGCTGTAACATACGTAATGAGCGACCAACCCCTAAAGACATATGAGCGATATACGGAACCTAGGAAGTTCACACTGGAAGCCTCTTAAACACAGATGCTCTTAAAAACGGAAAAGAAAAAAGCTACCCGCTTAAAAACAAAAACCAAGAATTAAAATATTGTGCATGTGAGTCACATCATAAAATGTCAAGTACATAACGATCAGATTGTGCACCAACAGGTAGTAGTCTGTCGGCTGCTACCGGCCGGGACCCCTCCCCTTCCTCTTCCACGCAGCGCCCATCTGCGCAGAGGTACCACCTGAACGCAGGAAACGCACCACACGGTGCACTGCTCTTGGCAGCCATCGGCGGTTCCTTCTCTGCTGCCCACCCCATGACCTAAGCTAGGTCCTCTCGTCCCCGTTTATGTCATCTCTCTTCCTATCAAGTGATGGAGGTGGCAGCTGACAGAAAAATACACACAGCAAGCAAGACACGCGGTGCCGATGCAGTCGGTGCAGAACGCGTCTGCACGGGCAGCGGGCCTGGAGGTGGGTAAGATGCAGGCGTGTGGGTCAAAGGCTGCCTCCCTGAGCTTCCTGCGGACAAAATAAAACAGGAAGGACGATCCACTAGGTCATTCTCGCTGGCGTCTTTCTTCCTCTTTTTGGTCCTCACATGGGATCGGAAGGCGATCTGCCGATGACTGAGGAGCGGCACTAAGTGCGAGGGAGGGCGGACGCCACAGCGGGCACGGCGGCCACGCCGCCCAGCTGCAGGGTGAGGCCTGCAGGCCGGGGAGAGTCCGGGCCTCACTCTGAGGCTGGAGGTGTGACGACGCCCTGAGGGCACACACGCAGGCTGTGGGACAGTCATGGCGTGGGAAGGCGGTGTGGGCGCGGGCCCGGGTGCCGTCCCCCAGGCCAGGCTCCTTCCTCTACGCTGCCCAGGAGCGACGACAGACGCCCTCTTTTCTGTTTCGCAGACACCTTGATATTCCGAGAATCCCCTCTAGCTTGCCACAGTCCAATCAAGCTTCAGTATCGTAAAACACATTTCACACAAATTCTCAAACCGCCTAGAAAAGTTTTCCTTCAAGCTGTGATTTTAGCAAGACACACTTAACTTGGGGCTCTATAAAAATGCTTCCAAAAGGCTCAGAATTTGGTGGCATGCCCCTCTGAGTCCGCCTGCAGAATAAAGGCTGATTCTCCAAAAAAAAAAAAGCTTCCAAAACGTGCAGGCACTGCCCTGGTTCCCCAACAATTATTTGTGGCTAATTAAATGTCACAAATCTTATTTGTGAGTCACTGCAACCAGAGGTCAGGAGGCACTCCAAAAACATTCTCACTTCACTAACAAAGTCCATTCAACCAGGCTGGTCAACACGTTCCTCAGTGTAAGGAAAATTATGTTATAAACATAAAATGTTTATAAAAAAATTATGCTCTTTTTTGACAGACAAAAGCTCCTATTTTCTAATCAAGTAAGATTATATGCTTTAGTCATTTTTGCCTCTTTTAAAAAGGCTATTTTCAGGGGAATTTTAATATAACGGTTTACTATAAGCCAAGAAATTAAAACAAAGTCAACAGGAGAACTTCCTCACTCTGGGCATCACCTAGAAACGCCTCCTGATTGTGTTACCTTTGCTAATTTCCAAGTCCACAGGATATTCAATGTTTTTGATAAGCTTCTGACAGCCACCAGTCTTCTCATAAACAAACCGTTTCAGGTGGAGCACGAGGACAGGAGGGAGTTTTTCCAGAGTCACTCTTCGACTTATCTCAACCTAAGACACAAAACACACCATGACACATTGTCCCTGTCACTTGGAACAGCAGACGTCATATCCATCTTCTGTGCAAAGACTCCTTTGAGAGCTGTCGCCCGAGACTCCCACGGCACAGCCTCACGACCTGCCCGTGACGCCCGTGAGAACTCACTGACACTCTTTAGAAAGATGCACACATCCCTGTAAACTGCCGGGGGTGCTTTGGGTCCCTGACGCCCAACCATGAACCAAGTTAAGAACTTTGCTCTGTGAGATTAATGATGAATTGGTATAAAATGAAAAAGCTTAGTAGTACCTTGAATTACATATGCTTAACCCGGTTTTAAAATAACTCATAGTATTTATAAAACTGATGTCAGTATGTACCTTCAATCGGATGTTTAAAATAACCCTACAGTATTTATTATAACCATCAGTTTTGTCAGTTTGCCCCTGAAGTACTTTCACAGGTCTAATTAATGCTGTTTTTAAGTAAAGCTAGAATTTTTTGTTAGCAAGAAGCATTTTTACAAATGATACTAAGAGTCCCTTTATCTATCATTTTCGGCACTTAGAAACTCCTTAGTGCTTCCTGTGTTTATCTGGAGAATACTTTGGGTAGAAATATTTTGTAAAGTAACAATCCAAAAGGTAACAGCACATACAAAACAATTTAAAAACTGTCAAGAGGACTATATACATATCTAGTTGATGGTATTTTAATGGGCACTAAGCTCATAAGTCAGTACTAGGTAGATTTATTAACCTTCAAACACCTGCCTTCCAAACCTACACTAAGATCCCAGGTACAAAACCTACCCCACACTTCCCTACACTCCTAGCATATGTTTATAAACTTGGTATCCAACTGAAACTTGTGAATTACTGAGGAGCATGAACACAGCTCAACAGTTAAAACCAGAGATTAGGACTATGAGACTCAATTTCCTCACTCATGAATCAAGAGTACTGGACTAGGCCAGCCGCAGTGGTGGCTCACACCTGTAATCCTAGCACTCTGGGAGGCTGAGGTGGGAGGGTTGCTTGAGCTCAGGAGTTCGAGACCAGCCTGAGCAAGAGCGAGACCTCGTCTCTCCTATAAATATAAAGAAATTAGCCAAAACAATTAAAAATAGAAAAAATTAGCCGGGTATGGTGGTGCATGCTTGTAGTCCCAGCTACTCGGGAGGCTGAGGCAGGGGATTGCTTGAGCCCAAGAGTTTGAGGTTGCTGTGAACTAGGCTGATGCCATGGCACTCTAGCCCAGGCAACAGAGCAAGACTGTCGGGAAAGGGAAAGGGAAAGGGAAAGGGAAAGGGAAGGGAAGGAAAGGAAGGGAAAGGGAAAGGAAGGGAAGGGAAGGGGAAGGGAAGGGGAAGGGAAGGGAAGGGGAAGGGGAGGAGGGAGGAGGGAGGGAGGGAGGGAGGGAGGGAGGGAAGGGGAGGAAGGAGAAGGAGAAGGAAGGAAGGAAGGAAGGAAGGAAGGAAGGAAGGAAGGAAGGAAGGAAGGAAGGAGTACTGGACTAAATTATCTTGAGGATGCCTTTCAGTGCTTACTGATCTGCAATTATGATTAAACTTTCTGTCAATTCATTAAATTGGTAATCTGAAATTCTTAAATGTGTCTTCTGGGTTTCGAGACAAACTGAGACACAATTTCCAATCACCCAACAAAACTGGACATTTTCTATAGCAAATGTTTTATAAGACCACATTTCCCCAAGGACCTTCACGTTTTCCCATAGAAAAATACTTCTGACCTAAAATACAGTGAAATTTAACTTGGTATTTTAAAAAGTATATTTAAAAAATCACATTCAAGAAAATGTGTTATTTTCCTATAGATATTTCCATACAAGCTGTCCAAACGTTCCTTCCTCAAACACCTGCTTTTCCAAGCGTTCCTGATCTCGTGTGATAACACACCACTACAGTCACAGAGCTAGAACACTGAGAATCATTCTTTCTGATTCGGAAGGCTCCACCAAAATGCTACTTCCTTCTTTCTTGAAGCCTTCCTCCAAGTCTGCTATTAAAGATAAACACCCTTTACTTGCCACTCTCTAACAACAGGTGGCAACTACCTTTGTCTCCATCCCTGCCCCTGCCCCCACTTGTGCCCCCTACAAAGTCAAAATTCAATTACAGCAGAGGCAAAAGAAAGGAAAACAGAGACATCACAAAAGGACAAAAGGGTCTTCCCTAGGTCGCCCAAGGCTGCAGTCCCCAACTCCCACTCCAACCAGTGTGGTCCGAGGCCGATTAGGAACTGGGCCACTCAAGCCCCCTCCCTTGCTGTCCAGTATTTACAGCTGCTCCCCAATGCTGGCGTCACTGCATAAGCTCTGCCTCCTGTCAGACTGGCGGTGGCATTAGATTCTCATAGGAGCGTGCGAACCCCACTGTAAACTGTGCATGCGAGGGCTCTAGGTTGCGTGCTCCTTGTGAGAATCTAATGCCTGAGGATCTGAGGTGGAGCTGAGGCGGTGACGCTGGGGCTGGCATCGCCCACAGCCAGCACACAGCTTAACCACCCGCCCACCCTCCCCAACACAAATACCCACTTCTCTCCCTCTCCCGTCCACGAAGCTCTACCACCAGGCTCTCATTAGCTGAGTCACTTAAGCCAACTGTCTCTGGCTCCTACTAGTTTTAATTTTTAAACAAAATCACCCGTGAGACACAAGTCAGAAAGTATGGTGGCGACTCAGGCGTAACTTCTGCAGACCCCCAGGAGTCTGGCTTGATCAGCCCCAAGGAGACCCCAGATGTATTGAAGGTCTCCACGTCCTACTTGGCTCTTCTTAGAATACAGCCACAAGACAAGGACAGCGCTACTCAAGCCATGCAATGTGCGGACAGGCTTGCTGTGCTGGGCTCCCTTATTTCACCTGGTAGCCACCACATACGGCCTGTTATTTAAATAGTGTCACAGGAGTACTATGAACTGTTCAAAAAAAGCACTGTGCATAATTAGTCAGCATTCAACCCCCAGCAGACTCTTATGAATTCACTGCCACAATCTAAGGCATATAATAGAGAAGACAACGTCTCCTGCAGGGTAGAAAACAGGCATAACTCGGCACATCTGCACAGCCAGAAACTAGCACGCTCCCGCAGAGCATGTTAGTTGGGACATACCCGTCTATCCCAACCCAGCCGACAAGCACACCACGAAGCTATCGTCTGCTATTCTCAACTTGTGGAGACTCAAAGACTCAGATTTTCTTTTCCAGATTAGATCAAAGAGTAACAGGCATTAGAACAATGACTTGTATTATTTCAATGTCCTTGAAGATCCACAATCAAATGCAAAACAGATGTGTTTAGAATCTTTTATGTCCCAACTGATCTAATAAAAGCTGTGCTCTATAGATATCATGAATATAAATAAGCTGTTCGGCCTCTGTCAGAGGATTTTACTGATTTTGTGTTATCATGACTAGATTGCCCAAAAATTAAACGCAGCTCTGGACAAGCAATCCCAAAGACGACCTTACCTTGTGTAACATGATTTAGAGCTAAAAGAGGTGGTTGGGATCATCTGTTTCAACTATTTCACTGTAAAAACATGGAAACTCTCAATCCAAAAAAGCAACTGATTTAAGGGGCAGAACTCAGATTCATTTCCCTTCATTCCTAATTCTGTGTTCTTTCCACCAAAGTAGAGTGCCTCAGTATAAAGGTTCAAGATCAACTGCGAATATACCTCCTGTTTGGTTTTTGTAGTATAACCTTGGACAGATTCTCTTGCCACCAAGCTTTCCAATGCATCCTGGACCGTACGTATCTTGTCAGACTGGATATCCAACTGCAACGTGAAAAATGGCTGCAAAGTGGCAGATTCTTTTGAACTCTGCTGGTAAACCACAGACCTAAGAATTGAAAGCAAAAACAAAAAATGTAAGAGACCACTCTTTGCCACTTTCCCTTAAGATTAACTAACAGAAGAGGAATAAGCACTGAAAATGAGATTACTCAATATTACTTTCAAAAGACCACAGAGAAAAAGCCAAAAATATAATTAATTTTAAAATAATTCTGCTAAATACCACTTCCTTAGTATTTCTAGCAACTAAACCTACCAGTTCATAAATTTTCCTAGCTCAAGTGCTCTGGGAGAAAATATATTTCATTCTTTCACCTCCACTCCATGCTATTATTTAACATACCAGTTAATAAATGCAACCATCTTGTCATGGCCTTGAAATGCTGATACCTTTTATTTTCTCAGAGTATCATACCCTGTTCTAATAAAACCGAGGAAATCCCAAGGTAAACAGAGTACTAATGGCATTTTCCCCTACAAAAACGACTTACAAAAAAGAAGGGGAGTAGGGTGTGTATAAAAACAAGTTAACATTCCAGGAAAAAAGGCTACCACCCTTCCAAGAAGGATGCCAACTCAACCTTATTTTCTTAGCTGGTTTTTCATTTCATTTTTCTTTTTCTAAGTTTTTCTGAGTAAAAATTGTGTGTTCGGCCCATGTCTCATTTAGCCTCAGCAAGGAAACATTCCAGGAGTTCAGCAAGGGATTCTATTTCTGCAGTCTGAGTGACCTAGTTTACAAACTGAATGAAATGGGTGTGGACAGGTATTCAGGCTTGCCAGAACAGATGCTGTGAAGAACTAGCTAAAAGTTTTTCTGTCCAGGGTTTCACTAAGCATCTTCATGCTCCTTTGGAGTGACTTAAGTGACAGTAGTTCCCTTGGTTCCAAAAAGGAATACAGAAGTGGGAAAACCAGTATAGAAAAGTTGAAGAAATCAAGAAGTGGTGCTCTTAACTCAATGGTCCTACAGTTTACCAAAAGCAACACAGGGGAAGAAAGGTGGAGAAAGGTGGTCTTCCTGGGGAAACTGAAAAACACGTGAAGAGGAATTTTAGAAGAAAATCTTTCAAATGGCTTGAATAATCATGCTTAATGCTTCTGAAAAGAAGTTCCCTGATTGTAAGAATTCCCTATCTTTGCTTTATTAGTTTTCAAAAGGAAACATCGACAACCCTTCCACACAAGACCCCACAGAGGCTGAGGGTAGCAGCCATGACGGGAGCCATTCAATCCAAGGTAGCAATTTCTCCTAAGTGAACTCTGGTATTTTCCATTGGTTATTCTGAGACAAATTTGGGATCTTTGGGTATGCTGGCCATCTGTGGTCTTGAAATTTTGATGCTCCACCTCTGCACAAAAATGGTGCTCTTGTTGCCTACATTTGAGCTGTTCCCTCACCTCTCCCCCACCCCTGAGGGAGCGTTCCAACTGGCCTAACATCGGGCTGCAGGGCTCCTGGAACTAAGGGCACAACCTCCCCTCACTGCTGCTTGCCAACCCAGGTCTCTGCTTTCCTTGCCAACATGACACATCCCAAGGAACCCGATCTGGTAAAAGAAGTCCCAGCGCAGTGGTCGGGGGCTGGGCATGTCCCAGACCACAGGGCTGGCATGGAGAGACTCCAGAACACCAGAACAGAAAGGGCCTGTACAACTGAGCTCACAGCACACAACACACAAGTGACTTGTTCAAGGACACGTGGCTGCTCAAGTGGCTTCTAAATCCAGTTCTACACAAGTAGTTCAAACTAGTTTCTGAGGGAGTCAGCAGATTTTCAGAGGTTTTTATTATTAGCCCATTGAAAGGTGCTCAATCTCAGTTGTTTTAGCACACAGCAAGACTAAACCGCGTCGCCTTGATGTATTTTTCAGAAACATGGCATTTGGGACGACAGACTAAGCGTCTCACTAAAACATCACCCTTGGCGGTTATCCTGCGAGCCCTTCCGAGAGGGAATCATGCTGTAACGAGGCCCATTTAGTACTTTTGACAACTAAACCTCCCTGGAGATGGTACAAGTTTTACCAAGTTCCACATCGCAGTGGTATCGAAAGGTTCTCACACAAATAAACAAAAACCTTTCAGAAGGACTTTGTGAATGAGCAAAACGCTGGTCAAGGGAACTGCCGCTGAGCCAAGTGACCAGGGATGCCAGCCCAGGTCACGCGTCCTGCTGTGTGAGAGTCCCTCCCTCAACCCTTCCTTCACTTTCTAGCTCACTTGGTTTTGACACCTAAAATCCGCCATCAATTCGCAATAGCCAAGACACGGCAACAACCTAAGAGTCTCGGAGCGGACAAACCAAGGGACAAAGAGACTAGTCTATGTACCCAGTGAGACTAGTCTATGTATCCATTATTCAGCTGTAAAAGGGAGAAGCCCCTGCCGTGTGCTACAACACGCATGCACTGCAGCACTAAGTGCAATAAGCCAAAGAAAGAAAAATAATATTACATGATCCATTTACATGTGGACTGTTTTTAAAAAACCACAAATATACAAATATAGAGAAAAGCATTCACCAGGGGCCAGGCAGGGCAGGGGCCAGGGAGTGGAAATGGAGATGTGGGTCACAGGACACAGAGTGGCAGACACTAGGATGAGCAAGTCCAGAGATCTAACACCATGAGGACCGCAGTTGATAATAGTGGGTTGTGATCATGATTTTTGCTACATGAGTAAATTATAGCTGCTTTTGCTACACACAGAAAAGGTAACTCAGTGAGACAATGGATATGTTAAATTTGCTTCACCATAGTAACCATTTTACCATCTGTATTTCCCAACACTGAGTTGTAAACTTTAAATACACACAATAAAATCTGTTAAAATAAAATTCCTCTAATCAGATATATGATGAATTTCTTCATTTAATAAAGCACATAGGTTTAACTAGTTTGCTTTCCTCTCTCTACCTAGCAGTGAGCAGCTGAACTTGACTGAGCACTAGCAGCGAGGAGCTCACCGTGGCACGCAGGCCCCTGGGGACGGTGCCCTGCAGAAACACTCCCGGGGCGGTGGGGGCGCGGCGGGGACTGGCAAGGGAAGCATCGGGACATGGCAGAGAAGAGCGGGCAGGTGAGCACGCAAGTGACCCACTGGTTTCAAGAAACCTCAGGACAAGTCTTGCGCCTTGCTCCTTTAGCAAAATGGCAAAGCCATGAAAGGGGCAAATACTACGTTATTCCATGAAAGTATAAACCTGATGTGTCCACCAAAAATGCCGGTGATTGGAGTCTGAACGAAATCCGCCTGGCGGGTGACGGAGGTCTTGTTCCTGGGGCCCACTTGCTCCCACTCGTCCTCGCTCCCCTCGCCCGGCTCCTCCTGCTCGTACTCGTCCAGCAGGTGGCTCCTGGGCCCGTTGGAGATGGAAAGTTCTGAAAAGGAGAGCGTCTGCTTAGGGTACTGTTTACGACAAGAACAGCAAAAAATAAAAATAAACAACGGTTCTACACGAACCACCCAAACAGATTTGTCAACTGCAGTTTTAAGCATCCACTGGGGTGTGTCCCACAGTGAGAGCCACAGCGACCAGGCACGTGTCCAGCTCCGTGGATCCCTGTCTGCAGAAACCACCGTAGAACACGTTCGTGGGATAACTGGAGAAATCTGAAGATGTGCTGGGAAGTAGACTCTGTCTGGCCATTACAGCTGGCTTCCACGGGCAGGTAAGGGCCCGTGGCTACGTAGGAGAGGATCGTAATCCTCAGGGGACATGCACTTTAGCACTGCAGGGAGAACTCAACTGTTATCTGCAACTTAATTTTAAACCATTCAGGAAAAATGTATATATACATAGTGTGTGTGTACAGGAAGAGACAAATAATGGTGTGTTAACAATCACAGACTCCAGCAATTACAAAAGTATTCATCAAACTATTCTTTCAGCTTTCTGTACACTTGATCATTTTCCTAATTAAAAGCTGAAGGAAAACAGCAGAGGTTTGGGGTCAGTTCTGATTTATTCAAATATAACATTCCTAATGATGTAAGTTATCCCAATGAATAAATAAGTGATATTTGAAAGGGCAAATGACTGTTGGCAGGGAGGGGAAGCAACTCACATATGAGCATGCAACATTTGTTTAAAGAAATTATGAAGAAAATATTCTCACAAAACTTTGCAGCAAATAGACCAGAACCTACTTTCATTGTTTGGTGAGAGAAGCTTCTTCAGGTTCAGCATTTCCTCATGCAGTCCATTTAGAATGAAGCCTAAGTACTCCTCAGCGTCTTCCTGTCGGCCCTGAGAGGGTCAAGTACGATCATGTTAGTACCAACTGAGCACTGCCCAAGGCCTGTGGGATACAGTACCTACTTATTCAAACTAGGCCTTTCCTAAAATTTAAGGAGATTTCCAAAAAATGTAAGGTATTTCCAAAAAATAACTTGAGTTTTTCTTTGGAGAGATGAGATCCCAGGGGCAGGAGGGAAAGAGAAGAATAGATTAAACACATAACTCTAAAGTAGAGACTTTTATTTTCTTTTTCATACTTTTCTGTATCTTTGTAATATTCTATAATAAATCTATGTTACCTTTATAACAAAAAATCTATTTAAAAGTTGTTTTTTGTTAAGACCAAGAACTGGATGTCTAGGGCCAACTCACTGCACAACCGCAATGCTTATCATTCACTCTGGGAGCTGTGAAATTAGCAACCTGTGTGATAAAGGGCAACTACAGAGGAAAGAACTGAAACGGTGTGCGACCAACTCTACCAACTTAAAGATTTAGCTGTCTTACACACACACCAGCAAGGTCATCCAGATGCGACTGACACAGTAGTCTGTAATCCCCATTGGTACTGTCTGACCCTGTAATTTATCATGCTCGGTTCACAGCGTAACAGCCTATTCCAAGGATCTATAAATTCTTCTGCTTGAGAGCTCTGGGTAGGCTGTTCTCTCCAAATACAACTACACTGACAGCAGCTGTTCGGCATAACTATATGCTCTACACATGTATAAAAAAGGGCAAAAGCTGGCATAGCGCAAAGGCAGTAAAGAGTTCACACGGCAGGCCTGGGGCTGATCGCCTTGGAAAGGCCTGCAAGGTTGGCCCGTGGCCGGTGTCTGTGAGCTCGAATTTCAGAAGTATTCCCATCATTCCAAGCACTGATAAGGGACTGAGTCTAACCTGTCAGTGCAACCAAGGTGGTTTATGTTGAATACCTGTTTTCCTTCTGGGGGGTTGGAATTTTGATTCAAGCTAGGCAGAGGGCGCCTATGCCTATATGACCAGCCCCCAGTGAAAACCCTGGACACTGAGTGTCTGGCGAGCTTCCCTGGTAGACAACACTTCACAAGTGCCGTTGCAAGTGGTGCTGGGGGAAGTTGGTGCGCACCATGTGGCTGCAAAGGAGGAAGAGTCCGAACGCTCCTTCCAGACCTGGCCTCGTGAGTCTTGACCTTTTCTGACTTGACTTTGTGTCCCTCTGTGGTAATACACGGTAACCAGGAGTACGCCAGCTTCTGAGTCATCTGGGTCCTTCCAGTGAATCACCCCCCAAACCTAAGGGTGGCTTCGGGGACCCTGACACATCTAATGTCAACATAACTTTGAGAAGACACTTTTGTTCGCAGCATTACTTCTGAGCATGATCCAGGAGGGGCTCAGCCTCAGGAAGCTGCAGTGCCCTTGAGCTCTGCCTCCACCCGAGCAGGGCAGCCCTCCTCTGGCTGCTAACGCATGTGGGTGCCGTCTGTCTTTGTACTGCCTTTGGTGTCTGCTCGCTTAGATTATACATCTAATCCCCTCACTGAATGATGAGCTCTTTGAGGACAGAAGGAACATTTCATTCCATCTCCACACCCCCAGCACTCTGTACATTTCCTAGTATTTGGGAAAAGTAAAATTCTAAGCAAATACCAAAAGCTGCATTATTAGCATTTAAAAAGCTTGAAACTCTATGCTGCCCCTTGTGATATCCTGCTACCCTGCTCTCGGCATTCACCCCTCTTCAAAGTGATGGAGCTTACTTAGTCTAAATGGACTTTTCTTAACTATTCTTCCCTCTGTGTAAGTTTCCCTAAGTGCCATTTCAACTGCACGTGCTGACTCATCACAAGCTCAGAGGAGAAAGAAATGCTCCAGCTGAATGCGCTAACGGTGTCCCGGATTCATTCCCACCAGCCGTGAGGGTCCTTCATAATTATGGGCCCCTGGGCCCCTTGCCTTTAGTAACAAAATGTACAATAAAAAAAATTCAGGTAAAGGAGTGAAGGACATTGAATGGCGACTAAGGCCTGTAAGAGGAAGTATGTTCAGCGCTCGAGTGTGTGCGGGTCTGATGGAGACACAGGCTCTTCTGAGTATGGCCGTCACTCCACTCCAACCGCAGGACAGTGCAGTGGGTAAGAGAGCTGCCCCCAAAGCCAGGCTCTGCCATTTACTAGCCATGTGGCCTGAGGCAATGACTACAGTTCTTCCAACTATGACGAGGAGACGGTAATCATACTGTATTCACAGGGCTAACCAAGTCATGTGAAGTACTTGGAACCTTACTCAGCAGACAGCCAAAGTTCCATGAGCTAGGCCTGGTTACGAGGGCTATCATGTACTCCGCACATTCGCCCAAACGATGAACTCCACTGTAAACCTACAGCTACCACTGAACACCCACCAAACTACAGCACTTCAGATGGATGCTAAATACTGAATAAGCAAAAGTAATCAGACAAACCCGAGCAAAGGGCAACACTTTATGCTAGTGATGTTAGAGCAATCTCAAACCTTTTCAGAGAGGCTTGACTTGTTAACAGTCAGGAGTCTGTAGATATACGTGGGTTCAAAGGCAGCTCCAGGGCGGATATCCCTCACAATTTTATCCCCAAGAGCTGCAAGGGGAACATGAGACAGATTTTCACAACTAAAATGAAGTTATAAATGACGAAAAGCAAAATCATCAAACTTCCCTCCCCACCCACCCCCAGCTGAATGCTGAGAATGGCATAGGTGTAGCAATGTGTATTTTAAAGATATTTCCCTTCAATAAGACTGAATTTACCAAATTCAGTCACCTGACTTCTTAACTCCCAACAGGTAATGGCATCAAGAGACTTCATTTTTACTCACCTTGCCGGGGTTTTGGAGGTACTGGCATATTAGTAAACTCATTCATTAGCCGAACACTAAACATAGGGGAAAAAACGTTAAGTAGTATATTTTTTAAAAACACATACTTTTACTAGAGAGTTTTGATGGCTAAGTAGAATATTAATTTGTATTAATATAGCAGATTTTAGGTAACCAATGCTATAATAGTGAACCCAAATCTTTTCTGTATACATTTTTGGCGTATTTTACATGATATGAACTGGTAAGCACTAAAATGTTTTCGACTGAATCTAAAGTACACAGATAAACAATGCTCAAGTTCCATTTCTGGTTAACTTCTATATTAAATCATGAACACTTATATTTTTTTTAAAAAAATGGAATTATAGGACTCATTTGCAAGAAGTCAAGAACTGTGTTAAATTATTTACATTCCAATTATCGGAGGGAACCAACCCGCCCCCTTGGCACCTTTTTCCGCACGTTACTTACAAGCTATCTATCATGGGTGTTGACGTGCAAGGCCTTTGCACTTTTGAATACAGAGGAATGAACTTCATCAGGTGATACATCGGAGGGCATGCAACCAGTGCCTGCAGTGTCTACATGGTGGCGGTAAGGAAGTGTAAAGGAAATGGAACAGACACACCACATTTCCTAAAGACACATTACACAAATGAGAGCATATAAAAACTAAATAAGCCAAGGACATTGAACTACTTAGATATATAAACACAAAAAAGAATAAACCAAATAATCACTAGGATAACTGCCCTGTAATAGCCATATAAGGATCTACCATGCAGCCAGTAGTTTACATTCAAGAACGTGATTCGAACAAGATATTCAAACCAGCTACAACAAAATTTCCAGTTTTAAGTGGTCACTCTGCCCTATGATTTGGGACCATTCACATGAGGATAAAACTTGCCTGATTCTGTCATTCACAGGTCAACAAGTCCTCTTTTTTTGGGGGGGATGGGGGGGGTCAGGAATAACCCTGTTCATAGGCAAGATAAGCAGACCAAGTAATAAATCACATTTTTAGATGCAAACTTTGGGCTAGATGCGCCATGGAAGCTGAACTAAGTCAAATGCACCCAAAGGAGAGACAATTGTAATACGAGCCCAAGAAGGATACAGCATTAATGTAGCACCAGTTTCCTTTATTGATCAGCCCACGGGGTTGCAATGACACTGGTTTATGTATTAAGGTTACATTCTCCAGTAACTCTGAAAGAGTGAAGAAGCATATTTAAGAAATTAATGACATCTAGTGAATAACTTAGTTAAATCAATTCATATGCTCTACTCTGCAGGAGCCTTAGAAACTCCTTCAACAGAGCACATGTCCAAAGAAAATGTGAATTGTTAAAGCTTCATTCAGTTCGACATCAAGTACATCATTTAATGAAATTAAAAATTTTTTCAAATTAATATTTTCCCCCAAGCAGCAACATTTGTCTATCTTCCTGTGGAACTACAACTAAGGAGCACAAGAACTACCTGTTTTAATGACAGAAAAAAAATTAAAACAATATCAGTATTAGAGAACAGATTTAAAAGATACAGCCTTTTTCCTAAAACACTGTTAGCTGAGCATGCCTCATTGATAGCAAGGTCTCTGGGACACTAGATATAAAGGTGTCTGTGCAGAACTTGAGTTTCATTCACTTCTACATCCCCAGCAACTAATACCGTACCCAACACATAACAGTGAGTGTTCAATGGCTGTTCAGTGAGTGAAGATACTCCTTTTGGAGACAACTGTCTCCTACTAATTAAATTGTGTTTTCCACTAGAAGTCTAATTTAGCAGCTGTTTTATACACTGTAATTCCCTTATTCCATTTACAAACAAGTGTGTTGGCTGCAGGTTCACCCTCTGATACCACTCTTTTTTGCACTGTGAATGCCACCTTTAAATACAATTAACCATCATAAATGCTTTAAAACAAGAAAACTTCTCCCTGTCCCATTATGAATCTCTTAATGGTGATGGCTACAACCTTTTCTACACTTAGCATGGGCTTTACAATTTGTAAATGTTAATTAGCCATTATTCCCCCAAACTATGGGATCTAAATAAATAAATGCATGTTAATTGGCTAGACCTAGTCCTTAGTAATCCAGTAGCACCACCACTATCCCCCTTTTACCCATAAGGAAATTGAGGCTCAGAAAGGTAGACTAACTTGTCTGCGACTACACAGGAGCAAGGCACTATAACCAGAGCCCGAACCCCATGACCTGTAGTCACACCACACTTCTCCTTTACTTTTAAATTTTATACCAGGAAAGAAAAACAAAAATGGGCATACATTTGATGTTAGCACCCACCTAAGGAATTGCTCAAACAAAAGCCTTTCTTTTATAAAATACAGCAGTTTTACTAGCAGATTCTAGACTTAAGCACTAACCTAATGAAGAAATTAATTTGCAAAATTCAAATGTCAACACATACACCCCTCTCATTCCCTCCTTCCTGAGAGTTCAGTGTCCTCTTTCCTCTAATTGAGGAAGTATAGGATAATTTTTGCACATCTTTCATCTACAGAAAGTAAAACACCACAGATTCAATGGAATCTGTTCAGTTAGACTAACCTGCAAAGCTCCTCTCATCTCTCTCAATACGGGACACAGACCTGGGCCTTGAAATGACCAAAAGATCAGTTACAGAGCTGAACCCCAAGCCCACAGGTAATGACACCCAGCACGGTCTCTGTCCGAGGGGAATACTATGCTAGAAGCTTTGTCTGTGCTATTCACAATCACAACAACCCTGTCAAAGAGGTGCTATTATCATGCTCATTGTGAGATGAGAAAGCTGAGGTCGCATAGCTGAACCTACCTGCAAGCTGGGTCTAGGCGGCTGCGGTGGCTGAGCTCTTTCCTCTCTCTATATAATGGGCTCCCCTTCGAAATGCCTTTTATTCCAAGGTTTCAGAAACTTTTCCCCACAGGGCAAGGTCTTCTACTTCCAGTGGGATTTTACATTTGTCTTTAAGCCATGTTATGGCAACAGTCTATCGCTTCCAGTGTGTGCCACAGAACAGCAATTAACTTACTCTGTCAAAAATCTGTGCATTTGCAAATAAGCATCGGTACAAAGGCATAGTGTCTCAAATAAAAACTCCAGCATCACACCGATGAATCTTTGCTGTAGTATTTTTGTGTCTAGTAACAAGAAATACTGTCTTTACTTAACCCTAAGATTCAAAATCAGCTGTCTTCCTAACACAGGGACCTTTGCTAAATGACATACTGCCTTTCCCTGACAGCTGAACAGCCGCTGCTGAGCTCTGCCTGGGCACCCCGTAATGGTGGCACCGTAGTGAGTAAGAGGCGGCCCCGTGCCAGGCGAGCTTGCAGAACAGCGAGGAGAAGGACTGTGGTGCTGCTGGCTGCAAACACAACACGGCGTGAGCTAAGCTGAAGGCGTGCTGGCAGGCGGGGCGGTGGGAGGATGCTGAGCCCAGGTGAAGGACTGCAGAAACACAGAAAGGCTGGGGCTGATGACAGCAGGTGGAAGCTGAGGAAGAGGAACAGACACCAAAAGGTCATCATCGCCCGCTGTGGCGGTGGCGCTCTCCACCCAGAGGAGGAATACAACAGGACGGGCAGGTTGTTTGTTTTGTATGGTGATGAAATAACGAGTTTCAGAGACATTGGTAAATTGTGCCCAGATGCCACCAGGAAATAACATGTTTATACTCAGGACCAGCAAATAACGGATTTATAATCGCACAAACACGTACACAGGTCCCTGGAGTGCAGGACTGAAGTATACCCTCCGACAGGGCAGACAGCGAGAAGCACACTGGGTCAGCACGCGACAGCGGAAGCATGGCTGAGGACTGAGACAGGGTCACCGGCTGGAAGGAGCCAGGCAGATAAACCAGAATTTCTGGGAGGGAGAAGAAATGAAATAGCAACCTCAACTTACTTGATGATACGGAAGACAAAAAGTCTTCTAGGGCAGGGTGGGGGTGAGGATGCAAGAGGGAGGTGGGGACAGGGCTTGAGGACATGAATTCCTATTCAGCACAGATACTGGTAGGAAATGGAAGGGGACTGACCAGGGCCAGACCTACAAGGTCTACCTGAAATGTCCGTTCCGTGTCAACTGTTCTAACAGACTCCAAAACACACTCCTAGATGGTAGAGAGTACTTCCAATTCACAGCTGAAGTGAAAAGAAGTCATTTAGGACAAGGCTGACGCCGTGCGAAAAGGGAAGCAGGTGCACAGCAATCAAGAACTCACTGCACTCAGCCCCGCCTGAAAGCGCAGCTCCTCTCACCTTCTCACCCGACTGCTAGCCCAGAGTCATCTGCTCCACCTGGAGGCCTAAGCGCTCACGCTCTGTGGATCAGAGGACACAGCTAACTTAAAATTAACTACAAACTGATTTCTTCCCAACATTTATGTGGGAAACAGTGTGAACTGGTCAGATAGAAACCTTTAGTTTCTACACCAACCCTTCACTCAAATCGAGGCCAGCTCCCCTGTTTTCCTGCCATAATACTGAAGTGAAGTCCTTTAGCATCGCCTAGTGGTTTGTTCAAATAACTGCAACTAACAACTTTTCAGACGCATACCTATACAAAATCAAAAGAGCAAAAACTCTGAAACACAGAACAGAGTAGAACAAAAAGGACCCTCAGTACATTTACTAAAGAACATACTACTCAACTAGCTTCTTTTGAAGCCTTTAACATTCTTTGAAAGAGCCCTCTGGTCAAATGTTCTTAAATGTAGAATAAATCTTCACTGGCTTGGAAAATATAGAGAAAAGGCACTGAACAATCTAGATTTTTTTCTTAATGATTATTTTAGAAAAATTGTAAGTGGTGCCAAGTCTTCCATAAACTAAGATATAGTAGTATCATTCTGTTATTAGCATCTACTGATCGTGACTCCTACCCTCAGAGTAGGACTGACTGCAGACAGTCAGGCACCCAGAGTCTCTCCACACCTCTCCGCAGCAGGACCTCATCGCCAGCTGCCTCGTGTTAGGTGTCTATCTGCTTCCCTGGACAGGAAGCTCCTTAAGAACAGTATCCTTACACTGCAACTGCTCAACAGAGTCAGCCCCATTCAGGGTAGCAGGACTTAATGGCCTTCTTTGTCCTCAGCCTGCTACTGCCATCCTGTTGGCTGCACGAGGTCTCCCTGCCCTGCTCCTTCCCAATAACAGCTGCCATCTGTTCCTTTCTTATCTTATGGCTTATCTTACTACCCTCAAAGCAAGGCCAGTCATTACTCAACCTAGATAGTACATGGCATACAGTAAGTACTCATTAGACAGCAATACAGGATAGATTAAACATCTGGAGATTAAAGCTGTTGGTTACGGCAAATGCCGTTCCCAGTTGTTAGAAATGCTCAACAGACTTCAAAGGTCATTTATCTCATGGTCTGAAAAGTCTAAATAAGCGCCTCCGTGGAGAAGCTTACGGAGGGCAAAGACGGAGGGCTTGCCACCGCACTCATTCTGCAACCTGGAGATCACTTAACTCCTCACCTACACAAGACACAACGAGCTGCACTGAGCAAAGCTACGGTGAGGATGGGCGATAATGTAAATAAACATGCAAACACTTGGCATGACGGGCAGCCTGTTAGACTCCGCAATCCTCACACTCCTCCACCACGCAGTAAAAGGACATCGGTGCAAAGACAATTCTAATGCCTTGCGCAGAGTCAACATTATTGCTCTGAATTCTGTTAAAATGAATGAATCCTACTGTTGTAATTCAAAAGGTAGGACTTGCAGACAAGCCAGCATTAAGACTGCCTTTGATTTTCTGATATCGCTGTTCTATTTAATTAAGGTTCTCTTGTAACATCACCATTTCCATTTACTATCTTATTCCTAGCCTAAAGTCTAGAAAGTACTGTAATTATGGAGGACAAAAGAATTAAAATGAGAAGCGGTGGCCAGGAGAGGGAAGGCAGGGTATGCTGAGGTTGAAACTTTACATGTGACCTGCATTCCAAAGTCATCACAGGTGGTTTATCTATTTCACCATCTTTCAGGGCAAATAATCAGAAGCTGACTATAGTAACAAACTTTTTCCCCAGAAGTCTCTTTTCAATCCCTTGGCATTGGTGTAATTTACTACTTAGATATAGCACTTTAGGGAAACGGCCTCCCCAGCCCATCTTTTCCATAGGGGTTGGTGGGGCTGCCCAGAACAATGTTTCTCAAATGGCCCAAAATGCCAAAATG